AACTACTCAATTGTAGTAATTAATGCGGTGTTTTGATCTAAATTCCCGCCGTTTGTTAAGACCATGAGGAGTATATATGTATATATGTATATATGTATATATTGTAAATAAACAGAAACTTGTTCAAAATCCCAACTAGTGGGAGGCCGCTATTTACAAGACGTGTAGGAGTCGAATGCGAGACCGCCGCCGCCTCCACTTGAAAATAACCCAAGACCTAAAATTGCTAAAAACCTCAAAGGAATGTTCACAGAGTAGAAATCTGGTATATAGATATTGAGCCCTTAGAGAATGTAACATACGTTGTATCCCGGGGCAACTCACCGTAAAACAATCGTCGGAAATTTTGAAGGCAATCTCAAGCCCAAAACGAAACCCAGAAATCATCGCCATCTTTCTCGCTGACCGCTGACCGCTTACTTTTAATATTTTTATTGAAATTGTAATTTTTTCTTTAGCAAGAGTGAGTACAAATAAAGATTGATTATTATTATTATTATCATAATTATTAAAAGGTACCTGTACATTGTTTCATGGACGTGTCACTTCTTTCTAATAAACCGTTCCTTTCGCACTTTTTACCAGCTTACTATCCGAGCCAAAAGGTACTGGAATGTCTTTGGTCATCAGTTCATTTCGTGTTTAAACCAACTAATCAGTTATGGAAGCACTTGAAAGGCTTAAGAGCACGAGAGAAGCTATAGTAAATGCCAGAGTTGCTCTTGGCTGCGTTCCGAGCAACTCTTACACTTCTCTCGTGCCCTCCAAACTTTCCACTAACTCTTACTTATAACAAGGGAAATAAGCAATACTGTAACAGTCTATTAACTACGTTTTTAACGAGCTGCTAGCAGATTATTAACTAACTATCAAAGAATATTTTACTGATGTGGGGATAATTTTAGCTCCGTCATGGTCTGCGAATAATTTCCGGTTGAGTTTTAGAATTTTCTGGCAAACAAAATAACTTAAGGTGGCTCCATATAGTTTTACGATCGCATGAGCGCTAAGGAAGTAATCTGCGCGCACTCAAAGGAAAACGTCAGTCTCTTTCGATATTTTATTACGTCAACATGAGCACAAAAAGCAAAACTGACAGTGAAATTTCTCGCGTTTCCTTCGAATGAAATTCCGTAAAATTTGGCAGATTGGTAGTAAATATTTTACTTTAGTCGGAGTTCGTTTTTCAAGGAAATCCATAAGACCAGATTTTTTGCAGCGGTAAAAGACATAAATTTGAAAATATTGAAAAAACTGCTTTTACAAACCCCCCTACTTTCTTCGTGTTTAATTAAAACTCGTATCCCGCTGGAAGCGATGTGATGTAAAAATTTTGGAAGATTTCACCGAAGGGAATTCATGAAAATCACAAATAAAGCTATAAAAACTGTAAAAAACACATTTGTTTGGGCATTTATAATTTAAGACTAAATCCCAAAATTTTAACAGAGATGATAGCAAAACACTATTTAATCATTTCTTAGTACATGTAATAAGTTTGAGAGGACTAGGTGTGAAAGCGAATACAAAATCAGCATTCAAAACATAACACTTGCTCGCGCAACGCCATAAATGATTACCCCATGGAGCCAACTTAATGGAAAAAAAAATTAAGACAGTCTTCGATTGAGATCGTTTTGCTAGTGCCAGGGCGTCACGTACGTGTTGTCAAACATAACTAGCGGAGGTAACATAAACTGTGTGAGTGGTTTTCCTGTAAGACGGAGGTTAGAAAAAATGAAATAGCAAAGCTAATCCGAAGTTAATCCGAAGAAAAAAGAAAGCCGGGCTAAAGAACTTGTGTTAAACGTGATCCTGCCAACTTTGAACCCACAACTCGTGTCCTTAGCATAGGAAACGAACAGAGCGATGTTACGGCGATCCCTGAACGGGTGGCCTTCATTCCAGTCATCAGATCTGGTGCAGTTGATTCTCTCGTAGATTCCTTAGAAAACGAACAAAAGGAAAACCATAAAATAACACAATGTTACAGGAGCCTATGTGCCAGAGATACGGTTGTTAGATTTGTTTAAAAAAACCCGAATTCAAGCTTTTATAAAATTAATCTAGGAAAAAGTTTTCCAAGACAGTATACTGACGCATAAGTTACAAAGGGAATTTAAAACGTGCGGAAGTAATACTGTGTTCGTTTAATATGGAAGGCTTCACTGAAAGTTCTCCCCATATTCAAGTAATGTTAAACTTTCTGGTGGTCGGTATTGAGCGATATATATTCCTAACCCCTTTATACTCTCTTGCCAGTGGATATTTTCGGAAAGGAAGCCAGCTTTGAATTTGTGAAAATCGTAGTCCAAGAATATTAGCCAATCAAATATCACGTGTCTCAGAGTCACTTTTCCTCGCGCCAAACAACCACTCAGCAAGAGAGGATGATCACTTGCTAAGAAGCTAGAGGGACGGACGAATGCGTTTCTGTCGGTAGAGGGTGGTAAAGGGGGGGGTATAGATCACGTTTCACGGAAAATAAAGCAGCCCTTTCACAATTCACGAAAAATACAACATTGGCATTTCACGCCTCACGGAAAATAAAAGAGAACGTTTTGGAAAATCATGGTTCACGGCTACTATGGAAATCACGATTCACGAGGAAAAAATTAGCCATTTCACATTTCAAGGGAAAAAAAAAGGGCCGATCACGAGTCACGAAAATACCTTTTACCACCCTCTCGGTAGAGTGCTCTGGGAGCTAGGTAAAATAAATAAGAAATTACCTTATCATTCGATGAATTTTTTTTCTTTTCATTGGCCGAGAGCCAACCACATGCCTGCAAATAACTGCCCACAAATAATGGTCTGCTCATGGGTACGTAGTACCGTGTAAATGTGTTTTGCTGCAAATAATATATTCTGCTCATGCAAAATTGTAACCATGACCTCTGATGAAAAATGGCAGATTGCTCCCCTCAGGCCCTGAGCTGTCCGAGAGCGATTCAAATAAGACGGAAATTGGTGATCGAATGATAAAACAATTATTGAACTCGGTTGTCGCAAAATATCGTTATTTGTCAGTGTCTCG